AAAAAAAGGGTGAGCATGGTGATGGCTTTTCACCTCACTGTGTCTGTGGTGAGTACTGAGGTGCCGCGTGATGAGGCTGGGAGAAGATGGGCTACCGGGGTGGACCTTTCCGCCCAGGAATGAAAATGGTCAAAATATGTCTAAATGTTCTGGATCAATTCGCCCTGAATATCCCACCAGAAAAGGACTATAATGGAAGGCAATCATGGGAATGCTTTTGGAGACCTGCGTTTAAGGTGTTTGCTTGAGCCTATCAACTATCCAAGAGCACGGGGTGAAATTTCTGGCAACTAAGGTCTGAGGCAGAGGAGAATAGCGCAGACCGGCCTTTACAACAACCACGGCACCCCGCACAGCAACCACAGCACCCCACATTCCCACAGCAACTGCCCGTGCCACAGCAACAGCAACAGCAGCAGCAGCAGCAACCACAAAAAACACCAAATTCAATATAGGCGATATGTGCGTACATGGATCATCTGGGTTGTGGAAGGAATGTTGACGAATCAACACGTTCCTTCCAAGAGAGATTCTGTGACGTGACAAAGACCCCAGTCTGGGGTACCCAACTGGCATAATCGAGCTATGGTTCTTCAACCTTTGTTACTTTGGCTGTTTGGACATTCCATGGAGCTAGTACCTTCACTTGACCCCGGGTCAGCCACCCCCACTAAAAACGTATGCCATGAGGAGTGTTTAGGCGTTTTTTTACCCTTTTGTAGACCCATGTTGAGGGGACGGCGAATCTGATTTTTCCCCAAACAGTTTACTGTTAGGAGTTCTCAATTCTTTCTTAAGATGTGTCCGCCCTTTGTGTCACTGCTGGTGTCCGCCCATTTCCACTGGCCATGTAACATTTCTATTCATTTGTCTCCCGGGTCTGCCACCATGCAGCGTTGTCTGCCCTTTTCCGCTGGTCGTGAAGCATTTCTATTCATGTGTCTCCCAGGTCTGTCACTGCTGCCGATTCGACATTTCTATTCATTTGTCTCCCAGGTCTGTCACTTGCGGTGTCCGCCCTTTTCCGCTGGCGATACAACATCTATTCATTTGTTTCCCAGTTCTGTCGCTGCTCGTGCCCGCCCTTTTCCGCTGGCGATGCAGCATTTCTATTCATTTGTCTCCCAGGACTTTTCTGCTGGCCATGTAGCATTTCTATTCATTTGTCTGCATCTGTCACTGCTAGTGTCCGCCCTTTTCCGCTGGCCATGTAGCATTTCTACCCATTTGTCTTGCAGGTCTGTCACTGGTCCGCCCTTCTCTGCTGGCAATGTAGCATTTCTAGTCGTTTGTCTCCCAGCCCTGCACTGTTGGTGTCCGCCCTTTTCCGTTGGTGGTGTCCGCCCTTGGACGCTGGCCATGTAGCATTTCTCTATTCATTTGTCTCCCATGTCTGTCACTGCTAGTGTCCACTAGTGTCCGCCCTTTTCCGCTGGCCATGCAGCATTTCTATTCATTTGTCCCCCAGGCTTGTCACTGGTGGTGTCCGCCCTTTTCCGCTATGTCTATTCTCTTGCTGTCTCCAAGGTCTGTCACTGCTGGTGTCCGCCCTCTTCCGTTGGCCATGTAGCATTTCTATTCATTTGTCTCCCAGGTCTGTCGCTGCCAGTGTCCGCCCTTTTCCGCTGGCCGTGCAGCATTTCTATTCATCTCCCAAGTCTGTCACTGCTGGTGTCCGCCCTTGTCCGTTGGCCATTGCAGCATTTCTTTTCATGTGTCTCCTAGGCCTGTCACTGGTGGTGTCCGCCCTCTTCCGCTGGCCATGTAGCATTTCTATTCTTTTGTCTCCCAGGTCTGTCACTGGTTTGTCCTTGAATATTGTCCTTGAATATTGGCCATGAAGCATGTCTATTCATTTGTCTCCCAGGTCCGTCACTGCTGGTGCCATGTAGCATTTCTATTCATTTGTTTCCCAGGTCCGTTACTGCTGGTGTCCGCCCTTTTCCGTTGGCCATGTAGCATTTCTAGTCATTTGTCTCCCTTGTCTGTCACTGCTATCTTCCGCCCTTTTCCGCAAACAATGCAGCATTTCTATTCATTTGTCTCTCAGGTCTGTCACTGCTGGTGTCCGCCCTTTTCCGTCGGCCATGCAGCATTTCTTTTCATTAGTCTCCCAGGTCTGTCACTGTTGGTGTCCGCCCTTTTCCGCTGGCGATGCAACATTTCTATTCATTTGTTTTCCAGGTCTCTCACTGCTGGTGTCCGCCCTTTTCCGCTGGCCATGCAGCATTTCTATTCATTTGTTTGACGGGTCTGTCACTGGTGCTGCCGCCCTTTTCCGCTGGCCATGTAGCATTTCTATTCATTTGTCGCCCATGTGATTTCTTCCTTTTTGGCTTTCAGGTTTGGTGACTGCACTGCTGTTTTCTGCCCTGTAAGGTTCGCCTGTGAAAGGTTTTTGCTCCTTTGAAAGGGGTGCGTGACTGTCTCCGGGATTGCATTCCTGCCACACTGTGTAACTCTCTCAGCTTTGTTTTCCTTTTCGGGCAAGCGTTGGATGAATTTCCGGATTGGATTTCGGCGGCGTGGCAGCGGTCTCTCTGTTCAGTTGGGACGGAGGGCATACGTCAGTCACCAAAAATCAATTTCATGTCACATCCTTCGCTCCTCATGCTTCTATTTCTTGTCCTCACGTGGTCAGCTCCCCGCTGATTGAGCAGCATGACCAGCATCATGTTCGCACTTGAAGAATAATTGCCCAAAAAGGTTTACTGTTAGGCTTCTCAATTTTTTCTTAAGATGTGTCCGCCCGCTCTGTACTGCTGTGTCCGTCTCTGCCTTGCAATTCTTTACATTTGTCTCCCAGCTCTGGGCTGCTGTGGCCGCCTCTGCCTTGCAATCCTTTGTCTCCCAGCTCTGGACGTCGCAAGCTCTAGTTTTGGTTTTGAAAACACAAACTGTTTGGGGTCTACGTCTACGGTGGTGTAATTTGATCCCCAATACTAAAGTATAATGATGTAGTAACCATGACCCGTTTGTTGCCCAAAGTATTTAGAAGAAAACCACGATCAATACGTGGAGATGGTCTAATGTCGACCGTTGATTCATACAACCCCTTATCAATTTGGATTGTAAAGCCTCTTCAGGCCCGGGAGGTTATGAATCAACCGTCACAAGGTGAGGTGCTTCGGTCGGAGAGGTTTCCACTGCTGACGAAGCTCTTGCACTGCCTGGACCCGACTTTGTTCGTACCCCATATGGACTCCAGGTGCTTTGAGTCTCCAGGTGGAGTCTTCCGTTCGTTCGTCACGTGGAGTCATAGATCACACGATCGCACGGGTGCTTCACTTCAGTTAGAGGAGCGGTTGTTCCACCTTCAGCCAAAACAAGGGTGACCTGAGATGAAAAGGTACCCGAAATGGACGTTGAGGGGAGGTCCTCTTTCAGGTCCAATGAATCGTGTCTCCTATCGGACCAATTTATGACACGACCAGATCTGGGGTCGTTGATTCTGGATCAGGTCAGTGGTCGTTGACCTGGGGTCCAGGGGAGGTAAAGATGTTTTTCAATTTAATCCTTGCCTCCCAAACAACCAACGTCAGAGGGGGGAAGCCTCTGGCAAAATATTGACCGCCTTCTAGAACAGATTGCATGCTTGGGGGCGGGCCGTTGGTTGTATTTCTGTTCCTTTTGTGCGCCGGTGGAATGGACCATCGTTGCCTAAGGCATCATTCCCATTCTCTTGCAAGTGATGCAGGTGCATGCAGGCAATCCCCACGTTCAGGCTTTGGGTTTAAAGTGCTTGGCAACGCTTTGTGCGAACAATACGGCAATTCAGAGACTTGGATGCGATCTTATTTGAGGTGCACCGCCCAACCGCATCGTTTGCTCTCTAAGTCTAGCCATATGTCAGTACACGTGATATTGATATTTGTACTCGTAGCATGATTGACCCACATCCATAAATTGCTGTTGTAAATGGTATATAGGGTATGGACCTAGGGGATGATTTGACCGATCCTGTACAATATGGCCGGTTGACATGGTTTTTACTATTTACCATGTCTCCGCAGTACAGACAATCGACGTTGCACTGCAGAACTGTCACAGGCAAAGAGTCCTCAGTTTTTGGGGAGATCAACTGCAGAAGTGAAGTGCTCCAGAACTTAGCCAGTCAGGAGACAACCTGCAAGACCTCTTTTGGGGGGGAGTAGGTTCCTAAACTGAGTCACTAAACACTTAAACTCAAGGAGTTTGATTGGCATTTGGGTGATGGTGACACCACTTCGGCTCAGCCATCATGATGCCCATCAGATAACACAGCGGAAACTCATGGGGTCAGTCGATCTCGAGGACTGGGCTCTACCAGGCACATGGTATTCCCGCCATTCTGAATGCCATCCGTTCTGCAGCTGATACCAGGGCCACAGACGAAGCGACTGTCGGGTTGATCACGGAAGGCATGAATCTGTTGGCAGCGATTGCCACCAATCAAGAATGCCGCCCGCTGATTATGCAGCATGGTGGTCTTGAGATTACGTTGCAAGTGATGCGCTTTTACATCGACTTTCCTCTCATCCAGGACACTTTGCCATTTTGAGTGTATATGATATGTTTGGTTCTTTGTGTCCTCCACTAACACACACACACAGCACACAGCAGATTGCTTCGACTGGGACTGCTGACTCGCCACTGGGTGAAGATGGAACACACGCGAGTCAAGACTCTGTCAGTTCCAAAAATCAGTCTCCTGGAGGAGTCACAAAGGGGTGCCTATTGGTGGTTGGGGGTGCCCAGCTACTCCACCCACTTAGGGACCAAACACCACCACCCGACATGTGGAGTACATTGGAAAATAGGTTGGCCACGGGCATAGGGAGTCTGCCATGGTCGACTCTGGTTCCTCTGTTCCTCTCCGTCATCCTTTGGAACCCTTTGACCCAGACAGGGGAGTTCCATTGAGTCGGGTGCGACATCAGATCCTGGACATGAACACCCGTGCCGGACATGAAAACTGTAGACTGATCAGATTTCAACGCCCCATATGAAGAGGATGTCCAATTGACATGGGGGGGTTGATGAATCAAGACTTTACCGTATTGCCACCTCCCACGGACCCCGACCGGTTGGAGGAGCACTGCCTCCGAATTCTATCGGGCTTGACGCTATGGCCCGAAGCCGCTGCGAAGCTGTTGCATGCAGGTGCCCCGGTCGGACCGCCCCGCCCGGTCGGCCGCCGCGCGAAACAACGGCCGAGGATGGAGCGGGGACCGACGCACCGGTGGGATTGGAGCGAAGCTGGGGAAATCCATCTGCAATGCGGACTCAACTCATGTGATGTCATGGTGTAAGTGTAAATAGTTTTAGAGGTTCGTCTATTTGCTTCCCCAACCTACTTATATAGGGATTCTAATATAATCTATATCATTTTTGCAAGTGCTTGTTTAGCATTGTTTGGCCAATCTCTTCATGTGTGTTGAGGTCCTGAAGCGAATCGTAATAAGATGACCACTCCACAATCAGACACGCCATGACTTCCAGCACCACCCAGTTCGGATGGTTTTTGGACATCGTGAAGACATGCAGTGCGTACCCTTTTCACCACCCAATTCCTGGAGTCCTTGGGTCGTCGTCTCGGTAAATGGACCCATCAGACTAGCCAACACAGGTCACTCGACGATTGTTTCGACACTTGATTCATTTGTTCAAGCAACCCTGGTGCAGGCTACATCGATTGTATCATTGCGGCCATGGTGAGACTGGGATAATGTCATTGTCATGTTTGGACATGGAAGTGAGGATAAGTTATAGGATGATAAGGATGAACACTTTTACCCATGAAGCTAAAGATCGAGGTTGTCCATGGTGTTTCTTAACAAAAGGGCTGCCAACAAGAGTTCTTTGGTTCAATAACTGTTTGCATCATCCACAGCTCAGGAATGACCTTATTTTACTGGAGATGGTCATACAGCATTACTCAATGAGGTCAAATATTAGGTTCAACTGGACCTTGAGACCTGATGAGTTCTGCTGGCCCATCGATGGGCGTTCTGGTATGCTAAGCACCCCCAACTAGCTGCTTTTTGTTGGAAGGAAGTGTGGCAAAGCAGCAACTGGGTGATGGTTTTGGATAATGAATCCATATGAATCCGCACAAGTCCAAAGATTCTGCAAAACCTGGTCGTTGACCTCCTTAAGTAGTGTTTTCGTATGATGACCTTGGAGGTAAGCCATTGACCTGTAGGGAATATGTTCAACCTTCACTTGGGATGAAAACATCCATCGACCGTTTCAAGTGAGTGGAACAACCACCGACCACATCAACTTCCGACCAGATGACAGGGTCGTTCCGATTGGCTCAGGAAGTACCATGAACATCAGGGTGTTCAAATGAGTGGTGCCTATGCACTGGGCATGGTGGCGGGTGGAGATGATGCCAAAGCGGCGGTGATCAGTGCCAAAGGCATTGAGGCCCTCGGCCCTTCGGGCGCGCAGGGGTGGGGATGATGCAAGTTGTCAACGCTCAGAGGTTGCAGACGAACCGGAGAAACTCAAGGCCAGGGATTTGTCATACCTGGACCTGACTCCTTCGGTAGCCCTGGAAAATAGGAAGACCCGCTCAAAAACCGGTACGACTGTACCCATTGTTCGAGCTACGAACTGAGACTTCAGGTAGCAATTGCCACACGAACTATCCCCATGGATCCACATTACCTTCTGAGAAGGTGGCAGTGGAGACTATTTATGTAGGTCAGGCCCAGTCATGCGTGGCTCCGTCGATCCATAGAGTATACTCTCCAACCATATCCCCAGAAGGTGGTTAGACCCCCCCAACCCACCCCAACCATCTTCTCAGGAGGTGGTTGGAGCCCTAGGGACTCCTTCATCGAACCATCAAGACTGAAGATGTGGTTCACCAATCTCCGGAGAACTGGGAACCCTCAACATCCGTCAACACGTCAACCTGAAAACATGTGGTCCCAAACGTGCAAGAAAGCACCAAGAAGTGCGGGGCCCCGAAGTCCTCAACTTGGCATACACTTGGTTTTATCTATACCCCTAGGGGTCCAGACCATCTTGAGGATGTCCTTTGGCCCCAGTTCGACCATTCTTTGGAAGCACTTTCACCTGCAAGACCCTCCGAAAAGGAGGTACCTGGACCCTATGGGTACCCTATGGGCCCAAAAGGCATTGTCACTCCCTACCTTCTCAGCATGTGGCCAGGAATCCCAAAAAGAATCTCCGCACTTTCCGATCAGAAAAGTTATATAGTCGTGTCACCGTTGTCACGTTTGTGGTTCGGTGGGGCACCTTTCCGTGGATCTTACTTCACCGGCCTTTCACCTCCCCCCGGGCGGCTCTTCTTCCCACCCCACCGGCGGGTCGATCCTTTCGGCTTCGACTCGGTTGCGAACTCGCGGTGCGGCCGACTCGGGGGGGTCTCTCGGAAGGCCTTGGTCGCGGCGATGTATTGGCACCCCACAGATCAGCACGTGAACGAGCAGGCGCGGAGGATGCGCGCTCCGCGGAGCGAGCAGCGCGTGGATTTTGGGGGGTGTTGTGTTCTTTCTGGTCGCAGCAGTTGGGTCTATGTCTTGACAGCCACAGGTGTCATGCTTTGAGGCCAAGAGTGACGCTAAGCACCCAGTGCCTGGGTCCTCCACGCACCACCGCACACCGAAAAAGCGGTGTCCGAAGCAAAACGCCGGCGGGCCGTTCCCAGGCCTCTGCGGCGCTGTCCATTCTTTGCGAGTCAGATCGAGGTAAATCCATCTTGGCACAGACCCTCGTGGTGGCCTGGATGGCGGAGGGCGGAAGAGGGCGACCGGAAAAGATGACAAGTCATAAGCGGGTTCACAGCATGCCAGGGGAGGGTATACTGTCACTCATTAGGTAAACATCTGTGGAACATGTTTGTTTGAAGCTCCAGGGATTCTTACAGTGCCAAGCACACATCGCTACAACATGCTACAACACGCAGTGATTCTTGTCGTTGAAGTAGCTGGTAACCTTGAGACGATCTGCCTTTGATCACCGTCTGAGACGATCTTCTTCTTGGCATTGCAAGGTCCACTCATCCCTAGGGCTCCAGTCGTAACTCCTCAGAAGGTATCTGGACCCTCCTGGCACCCACCCCAGTCCCACCGAACCTCAGGTTCAGTACGACTGGAGCCATAGGGCATGGATCCGACGCATTCCGACCGACCCAGGGCGTGACAGGGTCCAGTCCAGTCAGGCGCCCCGAGCAGGTGGGTGCAGGTGGGTGCAGTCTTTTCCCGAGCTCGCCTCACGAGGAGCGGCCAGAAACGGCATGAGAACGCCAGTGGCGTCCGGTCCACTCTTTGATGTAGGCGGTCTTGGAGTGTCCAGTTGACTGGATCCTATTATTGACTTGCACCGCTTTGCGTTTAACATAAAGCCTTCTTCCTTTATCTTCCTTTGAACCAGAAAGTCGGAGGTCTCCCTTCCAGTGTTTTGCACTGGAATTGGTGGATCCTTAGGGATCTAACCCTGATCATCTATGGGTCTGGAATAGTTACTTAATTAAGGTATACTTCTTAGTTTAGGGTTATTTTCATGGGATAGATGGTCCCATAGATGGTCAGGGTATGTTTGCTCTTCGACCTGTATACCACCCATGTCCATTCCTGGTCCAAAATATGTCCTTCACCTACAAAACCTGTTCAACCCTTTTCAATCATTGTTCATTGGCACTGCTGCAGAGCTCTGCAGCTAAGGATGACCAGAGCTCTGCAGAGATCATCGCCACCTCCATGAGGGGTCTTTACCACGTCGTCGCTCGGAAGTTCCGCGCGGAGAGGATGAGGATGACGGTCGGGTGGATTTTTCCTTTCACCCCGCGATGTCCAGCGGATGGATCATGAAGGCGATTTCCCGACCTGGATTTGCCAGATATCAATCTTTGGCTCAGTGATTTTGGATGATTTGGGCGCGGTCGGATCAAGTCCGAAAGCACTTGCCTCGCTCAATTTTTGGACCCCCTGTAGGTGAACACTGATTGCCCACAGGGTCCAGGTACTTCCTTTTCGGATCGTCTTGGAGGTGAGTGCGTACTTCCAGAGAATGGTCGAACTGGGGCGAAAGGACATCCTCAGGAAGGTGCTGGACCCTTAGGGTTGGTGTTCGGCATCCACCTGTTTTAAACACCGAAGTATGATCCACCTGCAAGTAGCGTGTCAATGGTTGATTTAGGTTGATCCTGTTTGACTGATAGGTTTCATGATGGTTTCATGTTCTACGTTGTATACATCCGTTTGACAGGTGGTACATGATCTCAGTGCGCAGAACACAAAAGCCATCAAACACCTCCAGTGAGTGTTTCTGAGGGTTTTCTTTTCATACCATGAGATGTCCTTGCATGTTTATACCGAGTGTTTTACATCCATGCACAGCACTCTTTATGAGATGCCAGCAAGTTTCGGGACCCACTATACCGGAGAAGACGAGCTCGCTTTAGCTGCTTTAGCTCCGCAAGTGCACGCGACGCTGGTCTTTCATCCTGGGTTTTGCGGATCCATGTTTCTTTTTTTGTGAATCCCCTCGGGAATATTTGTTGTCCCTTTTAACTACAACAAATCTTTGACGGCCTCCCCATTGTGCGATGGGTGTGATGTCCCTCTCTTTTCCAACAGACTCACCTGCTCAAAGTTGGTGCCGTGCGGAACATGGCGGACCATTGCCTGGTCGACTGAGGCTAACACCCTCAAACAGATTGCGAAACTGGTGGCCATTGCTGGCTTGGATGAAACCATGAACCCTGGCTCAGAGAGTATTGGTTCGTGCGGAATGATCTGGGTCGGTCCCATGGTCTTGACATCCTCTTCTCGGGGCCATGTCGGCGCATGGCTTGAGGTCCTTCTAGGAGTTGGTGAATTTGATCAACACTTGAAGCATTGCTTAGCTTGGCGACATAGGCTATGGTCAGATGTGGAAGTACGAAGTTCAGGACATTTGGTCCGCTTTCCGGAGAAACTCCGCAGTCGAAGCCCTCTAGGGTGAAACCGGTGAGTTTCTCTATGCGTCATGGTCCGTGTTCTCTTCCACTGCTGAAGAACAATCTCAGGAAAGATGGCTTATTGAAGGCCGGAACCGAGTTGCAATCCGAGAGCATGTATGGAATTGTATTTCATACATGGATGGCCTGGCTAATGTACAACAACTTTGTTTGCCAAAGCTTTCTTTCTTTTTCCCCCCAAGCCATGGACCCTGCGTCGCATCCTGTTTTGACCAACTGCCACTCATTGTTGATGTTCACAGATACCGTGAGTGTAACTGGGACATTGACAGGATTCTGCAAGTTTAGTGCGATGGTGATTTTACCGAACTGGGAGAATCCATCTCAAAACTATGGGGAATGTGTGGTTTTTTGGTTCCGCTGAGCCCTTCAGAATGGCAGCTGTTGGAAGGCCTTCATTCTCAACGGCCTGGTGCAGTCCTTGGAAAGTCACACGCAGGACGAACGAACCGTTCCGATCAGCACGGCGAGACAGACCAGTCGATCAACGGATTCCCAACGCCCACGAAAAGGGGATTTCCCAAGAAAACCCATGGTATTGGGGAATGGGGAACAGGTGGGAAAGGGTTAACCTTCTTTTTTTAAACAGGAAAACTGAGCATTATATAGTATCTGAGGTTGGCTGAATGACTCGGTAACCATTGCATGTGAACTACATGTGCCATTTGGACTGAAGCATTTCATGACTCATTTGGCCTGTTGATGATCTTCCACCGCTTTGACCCGAACGTCCTTGGACTTCCACCGGAAACAGGTGAGGAGACGTCAAACAGGAGACGTTGCATCCCTCTTCAACATGGTTGCATCCAGAATCAACACCTGTAAAGGTTAACCTGCCTTCATGACGCAACGACGTATGGGCACGTGGTGCGGGGTAGGGGTGCAGGGATACTGGGTGGTCAAGCGTAACTTGTTCTGAGTGATGTGTTAAAGCGCTGCATGATTTCTGGTGTTAAGACAGGTCAGTTGGACCTCATTGTTACTGGAGATGAACGTACAAAACCGCTACTAAGCAAGGTAAAGGACCAGGCTTTACTGGATCAGACTGGACTTGTAGAGATAGTAGCTATACTATATACATGTAACTAACTATATACTACGACTCTACAACTATGAAACTAACATTAATCCTGCAGAGAAATCCTTCACATCGAAGAAGGGGCTTCACCTTCTGGACGCTGGGGAACCAGGACCAAGGCGTGGCCTTCTACGTGCTGAAGGCCATTGTGACCTTGGCCTATCCATATCCACCGCCTCAGATGCTCACCTTGTGCGGTACCTTATTGGATTTGGTCATCGCCATCATGAAGCTCTTCCCGCAGGAAGCGAGGATCCAGGAGTCGGCTGGAAGCGATCCATATCCAATCAGACACGAAACACACCAGCACCTTCCAACAGGTCTCCTACGGAGGCTTTGGTAAACTTATATAAAGGTCGGTGGTGACCTGTTGGAGGGTGCTGGTAGAGAAAACCAGTGCTTTTTTTCCTAGCAGGATTATGTTTTTGGTATTCCCAGACTGATGAATGATGAATGGGTAAATCCCCTTCTGGGGAAGAGCTTTTACCTTTTCCATGTGTTCTTTAAGTACATCCAAGAACAGACGAGACAAGTGAATCGACCCAAAAGTACAGAGCGTCTTTTTAGTGCATAAACATCCCATTCACGGGCTTTCTGTCCATGCCGGATTTCCTAGAAGCGCTGTTGGATGATGGTTGGACGTGCCGACGTTCATCCACAGCACATGTTCAGCACATGCAGGTCTGGCTGTGAGGTTCTATCTGTTCTTGCCAGACTGGAAGAAATGCAAGAGCCCATCATCTCCAAGGGTGGCATCAGCTTGTTCCTCGTCCTGGTCGCCGGTTCCCCCCGTTCGCTTGCCGTGCTTCGGGACTCACCGTCAGCCTAGCAGACCGAGCAGACGACCGAAGCAAAGATCTGAACAGCAGAAAAGAGCTACTACTACGACATGCCCGTTTGGGATCCAGTCGTACCTCCTCAAAAGGTACGACTGGACCCGAACATGGCACCCACCCACCCCAGTCCCACCATCTCAGAGGGTACGACTGGATCCATAGGGATGGTACTCATTGCTCCTCCTTTTCCAAGGGGAAAGGGAGTTGGGGTCAGAGGCATTCGCATCTGCCACGGGGCCACTGGTCACTGGTCAAGCCACCTCAAATCACTGACCTCCTTCCCGTAGTTCCTCCGCCAGCTCCGTCATCCCCATCCCGGACTTTTGTCACAGACCCAGGAGTCGTACATGGACCACCTGCGAAACCTTTTTGTTGGGAGTGGTGGCACCCCAGCGAGCTCACTAAGAACAGCTAGGTGGAGTTCGGAGTTCGTTCGGTTCACCTTTCGTTTCCAGCCAAGTTCGAAAGTTCCTTTGGACCTTGGTGGTTCACTGAGGATTTGTACCGCCCTGAAGGCCTTCCAAGCGGATACGGGCATCCAGCGCAAGGGTTGCAGGGCCTTTGCCAACCTGGGAGAATTTCAAGTCTCTCGCGAAGCCATCCGCCGTGAAGGAGGCGGGACCGCCTCCGATCCAATGACGTCTATCCGTCCCACCGTTGCCCCTCCGTCACCACGGAGTTGGGGGCACGGAGGGCATTGGGGGGTGCGTCTCGTGCCTGGGCGCGAGTGGCGCAGGTGCGTGCTTGTTGGGGGGCTGCAAGTCTGAGGTGGTCAGGGGTTTTATGGTGTTCTTCACCAACGCTATCAATGGGACTGGAATGTTTGCATCCTGGATCTTCCGAGTATGCCTAAGCCTTAGGGATCCAGTCATACCTTCTCAGAAGGTATTTAGACCCTCCCAACCCACCCCAAACACCTTCTCAGAAGGTACTTGGAGGCCTGGCCTAGGGAGTATAAAGCGCCGAATCGCTTCCACAGATCACGGCGGCTTGTGCTGGGTCGCGCGCTGCGCTGGCGCGCGTTGTTGTGCGCCGCGCGCCATGACCAGGCATCGAGCTCATCATCTATGGCATGAAGTATCACGTCTCTCATCCGGAAGTTGGAGACTTGGACAATGGAAATGGATTTGGGTCAGTTAGTTGGAAATCCATGTCTGATCTCCCAACATTGAATTCCAAATGACTATGTTCCACTGCAAATCCTTACTTGCCAGACCGTTTGCCACACACACACATGCACACACATCACTGTGCGCGAAAGAAACGATGGATCGCCCGAAAATGGATCAAAAAGAGAGGAGGCGAGATCTCATCGCCGGGGTTTTGCAAACACCAATGCTGACCATGGGCAGAGTCAGAGCGGCGTGCCAGGGAGTGACTAAAAAAAGCCGCTGCCGGAGGGATCGTGGCCAATCTCTCCATTAGCAGACGGTCAGGAGGATTTCACCCTAAGAATCCGGGCCCGAACCTTCAGGGTTTGGTTCTGGTCTGGACCCCTGCGAAGAGGTCGGTTTCAACCCCTGCAAAGAGGTCAAGTCCAAGGATTCCTGGATTTCGGCCTTTCTGACCCTTCAAAGTGAACTGGAATCTGTCTTAAGTGACCCAACTTGGCCTGTTCGCGACCTCATCCGATCTCAAGTTCGGTCACGGCAGGGCTTCGAAGGCCGAATGTGGACTTGGCAGGGGCGTGGTCCTCTTGTTTCTCTCATTGTGAACTATATGGATTCACACATGATTCACATACCCTTTAATTTGGGAACGGTGATCGGATTCTATTGGAAACACGGTCAAAACGTCGGGTCCAGTCGTACTGAACCTGAGAAGTGGGATCCCGAACGAAACTCCTGATCAGGAACCGAAACTCAGTCTCCGTAGCGCTCCGTCGTCTCGCCCTATGGCTCTCCAAGGAGAACAAGGCTGTGCGGCTTTGGCGAACTTGGCCTTGGATGCAACTCGAAGCTATAGATTCGAGATCCAGCTGGATCTTCCAAGATCGTCTGCGAGCGGACCATATCTGCGTGTGTGTTGTTGTTTCTGTTGGCGACTGGTTTTAATAGATGAAAAGACGGCAATTTGGAAGATCTAGATATAGCTTGTTTGCTTCAAAGACCTTGATGAGCGTCCATGCTCCACGCATGCTGGTAAGGATATCAACTGAAAGACTTAAGTGCTTTATGACTGTGTTTGGATCCAATCTCTCGTGATGTCCAACAAAGACCGACACATAGGCATTCACGAAGGGGTGCAGAATCTATTGTTACTGGCCTTACCTGGACCCTCCAAAGTACCCTAGAAAATAAGACTTGACTGATAAAAAAACAGGTCCTTGTACCCATTGATCGAGGTACTTTGAGACTCCAGTAGTTCATTTTCTTGACCTTCAGCTCGATCTGGATCACTGGGAACTGCAGGAGTCCCTGGATTTCTGTGAATCGCTTGGAGGGGATGGGAAGAATCTTTGTCGATCTTTCACAAAGATTCGAGAGTCTCTGAGGAAGGGAACCGCAGCCACATCGCGCAGAATGAAGGCGTCAATGCCGTTGCTTGGCGCAGGTTCACAGCAGTCCAGGGTAATGCCGGTTCCCAGCGGTCTCCCCAACAGACCAGGACCTTCCAAGTCCGGTGTTTTTTTGGACGCCCCGAATCACCTCTTTACGAGGCTATTTATACCCTAGGGATCCACATACCTTCTCAGGAGGTACTTGGGCCTTCCAAGCCTACATAAGTAGTCTCCAATCACTGAGAAGGTACGAAAACGGATCCCTAGGGATGGATATTTATAGCGTTCATAGACACCTCGAGTTCGGGCAGGTCCTGGTAGAGGAATCGGTTCGACCCAGGGTCAACCAAATTGCCCCGGTGCTATGACCTGCCAGGCCAGGGCGCACTGCCGATCGGGCCGGGGCATGGTTGATTGGGGTCGATGTCCTTTTGCGGCCCATTCTTCAGTCCACAGGTCGTGTGTTTGAGGTGGATTCTCGGCAGGTGTTCACGCGTTTTTTTGCCCATGCACCTGGTGCTTCACATCCACTATGTTCCACTTTGCCATCACTTTCTTATTGTCATATTGTATACTTGGCAGCAGACTGGTATGTCTTCTGGCTCCAGCTGTCCCAAATTCCTCCATCCCCCAAAGCCATGTTCCCAGACGCTCATGGACCCTCCGGAACCAGTAGGGACCGTACCCAAATCCTCTGGTTTTGGGTCCGGGCCCAAAACCAACCCCCATGGGTTTTGAAGGACCAGGAAAGGCCTATTTTCACAGAGCTCTCTGTGATGTAGTTTCCTCTTCGGGTGGCGAAATTCTGCCACATCCCGATCCGATAATGATCTTTGATTCGATGCAGCCAAGGTCTTGGCCGGGCTTCGCTTGCATCAAAACCATCCGGGCAACTTGGTTGTTTGGACGGATCGGGTGATGTTCCAGAGCAACGAACAAGGCTGAGAGCTCGGTATGTTTGTTTTTAACTATAGCAGATAACAATATGTGGAGATGTACCAAAGTGGGTGAATCCCCTCCTGAAGTGAAACATGTTGTATACTACCTGGACCTTCATGTCGGGGTGTCCAATGCAGACAATTAAGTAGTGGGCTGGGCTTCCGGCCAGATTAACCCCGGAAGGAAGGTGCTGGTATGTTACTCCAGTTCCTGGACTGGACAACTCCAAGGCATCCAAGCCTTTGGCTTGGGCGCTCTGGGGAACTTGGCCACAGCCGAAGACAATTGTGCGGTGCCTTGGAGACACGTCCGTTGTGGTGCCAACACGTCCGTTGCCGTACCGAACCTGAGAAGGTGGATTCCTAGGGTCCATGGATCCACCCTCCGAGCTGTCTGATGTGGTGATGGTGTCTCAATGTGTTCAACTGCCTGACCTGCAGTGACTATCACTGACTCACGTTCCATGGTTGCATTCAAGGTAATGGTCTATTTGGACTATTGCTTGTTTATGATTGAAGACTCACTTCCAACGACCGCGCCTGCCAGGTGATCCTCAAAGCAGGAGCCATTGATATGGCCACTGGGACGTGAGAGATTGACGAGTTTGACTGAGTGGAAAGGATGATGTTAAACAAACAACAGGTTGAATGAGCTGAGAGCTGTGTTTTGAGGGTGCCAGAGTTCTTGAGTCAGTCCAACATGGGGCTTTCCTTCCAAATGGCATGGTCATCTATTGGTCCCGCGCCTGTGCGATTCTCAGCCAACCAACCAGGTTTGCCACCAGAGCTGCGCCGTTTGAAAAGTGCCCTGAATCATGTTCCAAAGAAATCCACTTAGCTCCTTAGAAGGTGTTTGGATGAGTTTGGACCTTCCGAGCAGATATAAGTGTCTCCCTGCTCACCGTACCCCAGAGGGCGGCGCATCCCCCCGCAGGCGGACCGCACGGACCCTGAGAATAGACCCGAGGAAGCCCATTTCTACAAACATCAGTGGTTTTCGGGGTCCATGTCCTCTCCATCGGAGTAGGGGTTCTGGGTTCTTGCTGGGATGGGAGATGATGGGAGACTGTTCGAAACATGAACAGACCGTGTAAAAACATCGAGCTGGCTTGGAGAAACCATTTGGATGTCGTATATTTTAATAGGGATATCGCCCAACCCACGGATTTAGATGTCCCAGAGGTCTAGAATAGGGGCTCTCCGTATTCTAATGCACCCCCAGGTCTTGGTATTGGCAGGTCGTGGAATTCTGAGGGTTTGGGATCTCCTAACTTATACGACCTCACAGGCGGTAGTGGCAAACGAGTGCTTAGACTAGAGTGGTAGAACAGGTGGCAAAAGTGACCCTCCCTTCCAAATGACGGAAGTGGCAAATGGCTGCTGAGAAGACAATTTTCTTCCAAGCACGTGTTGTCCACTTCCATGAATGTTGCAAGAAGGGACTTGAAGGGACCTTTACTTCTTTATTTGTGGTGCAACATCTAACATCAAAAGAAGATAGACGATGATACTTCAAACAGATAGGCCCTATCCAAGTTCTGTATACGGATGTTCCTCTACCAACTCATAAACTCCAATATCTTGTTGCCTGAAGCTTCGAAGTTTTAGACACTTCACCAGCTTGCAGCTGCACCACATCCGCTGGACCCCCGGGTACGTTTTCTACACCTGGCAGAAGCGGGACTGAATCCCCCCACTACCCACCCACCCCACTGACACTCCCGTTTGGGCACCTCCCATACCTGGACCTTCCACGGGTGTGTTTTTTCTGCCGTTTGGCGAAGCAGCACAAATTTCAGTCGTTTGCCGTCAAAAACGCCGTTTCATTTCAAAAGTGCCGTTTCGATGTTTTTACAGAGGTCGCCAAATTAGCAGTTGGCAAAAGTCGCCGTTTGGTCGGGGAAAGTCGCCGTTTGGTCGCGAAAAGTCCCCGTTTCAAAACCTTGACTTACCATAGAAAACATGCCAATGCAAAAAGTGCTTCAGTACAAAATAGTTGGCGTTTGCTTGAAAAAGCAGTTTTGATTGAAAAGGCAGAAAAAATGCATACTTATGAAGACCCAGGTATTGTCAGGTTCGTTGGTTTGACCCCCCTGGCACTCACCCCCAACGGAACCCGAAACGGAGCCCAAACGGGACTCACCACCACCCTGGTCCCACACGACATCCTCCGACCCACTTCAGCTCGGCGCCACCGATCTTCTGGTGGTTGTGCACCGGGACGTCATTCGCCACCGGTTCCACACACGGGACACGCCGTGTCACACGCGTGTCCACGCGTGACGCGGAAGGTGATGAACGCCATGAACGCCTGGAAGGATGAGGCTCGGGTGCAGCACTTCGCGTGTTTGGCCCTGAGCAACTTCGCGCATGACGATGCCAACAAAGTGGCCATCGGTGTCTCGGACCGAAGGGGCCTTTTTACATCCCTATACACCTCCATTCGTACCTCCTCAGGTTCGGTATGACTGGACCCGACGTAGAATGGCACCCGGGCCCCCAGTCCCACCTTAGAAGGTATTGGATTTCCTGGAAAATTTGAAAGCATGAGAGGACTATAGGATGGAGACGTATGTGGGAGACAACTTTGGGCCGAAATCACATTGAAGTGGACAACATGGGAAGAGATCGGGGGCAATACATTAGTCAACTTGGCCTCACCCAAGAATGCACGGCCGACTAGATGTCCTGAAATGGATCCCTTGTGTTTGTGATCTGGAGCTTGGGGAGACCCTGTGATAGAATTCAGGCTTGCTGAATGATGGTTTCACTCACCAGAGACCCCGCATGTGGGGTTTGTCCCAACCACTTTGGCAGTGAAATGGTTTGTTGAGAATTCACTAAGGGACTGAGGACCCCTTTCTGAAAACTGGTTGGGTCCTTTCTGAGCCAAAGGATCTTTATGAACTTTATGCGCTGCGGGGGTTGGAGTCGGTGGAGACCCTGTAATATACAACAGGCTTGATGCGTTGAGAGTCGAGAGTGTTTTAACAAGAGTTTGAGATGGGAGCAAGTGGGTATACTGTCTCAACAACTGAGTGGAGCAAGTGGGTATACATGTGCTCGCAAGAACCAACAGCCCTGGTTAAGTTGGGATTCTGACTGTCTCCAATGCTTTCCGAACACCGCGTAAGTGCCTGGAATCCAGACTGAAAACAATTAGAGTCATATTTAAAAGATTGCTGTTCGGGTTCTTTACCACAGGACTGCTTGGGCTTTTCCCAAGCCATTTGTTTGGGACAAAGGGTTGCAAGGGACTGTTTGTTGCCCCAACACCTCCATGGCACTGGCATATTGGTGTAAACAACCTGTACCAGGACCTTCCAACAGGTCTGCTCTGGTGGCTTTTGCAGGCTTACAAGTGGCAGGTGGTGACCTGTTGGAAGGTGCTGGTATCATTTACGCTGATTTTAGTATGTTGCTGCCAGATTGTAGTGATACAAATACGCCAGTCTCATGGGGGTTCTATATACATACTTGGACCCTGTGTGACCTTTCTTTTGGACCAAGAACGGCGGCCCAACACCCCAAATATATCAAATTATACCGGCATAGACCCCAGATAGCACTTCAAGAAAAGTTGGACACCATGGCAAGAGCGGGAGACAAGCTTGGGAGACATCCCACTCAAAGCGGGAACAGGATGGAAAAGGTAAACAAGACCTATATAAATCATCTTATAACAGCATCCGCGTCAAACGCAAGCAAGAAAATGACAAGGCGGCAGCGGCAGCCAAGAGCGAAGTTATGAAGGGAGACAAACTTGAGAAACAAGACGGCAGTGGCAGCTAATTCATGAAGGGAGACAAGCTTGGGGAGACAAGGCGGCGGCGGCAGCCAAGAGCGAAGTTATGAAGGGAGACAAGCTTGGGGAGACAAGGCGGCAGCGGCGGCCAAAAGCGAAATCATGAAGGGAGACAAGCTTGGAGACAAGGCGACAGCGGCAGCCAAAAGCGAAATCATGAAGGGAGACAAGTTTGGGAGACAAGCCGGCAGCGGCAGCCAAGAGCGAGATCATGAAGGGAGACAAGCTTGGGAAACAAGGCGGCAGCGGCAGCCAATTTCCGCAATCCGGAACCCATCCATTGAGAAGTAAGAACCCCTATAGCTTCCAGACAAGCCGACAGCGGCAGCCAAAAGCGAAATCATGAAGGGAGACAAGTTTGGGAAACAAGGCGGCAGCGGCAGCCAATTTCCACAATCCGGAACCCATCCATTGAGAAGTATGAACCCCTATAGCTTCCAGCTATCTGTGGAAATATGTGTGTGTGGTTGTTTTTCTTTCATGCCGTTTCCTTTATCAACACAGAGGTCTAATGGGCTCTATGATGTTCTATTTATAGCCCACAGATAGGGTTTTGAGGGCCCAGACCCTTGCTATGGAGGGTCCGACCCCTGCCATGGAGAGCCCAAGGATTCTTAGGGCATATCATCTGTCAACTCTGTTGGTCTTTGGTTTCCATTGCGCTGCTCAGGTCGGGCAGGTGGCAACCGAATGATCATCTCTTCAATGCAAAAGCATTCAGACCATGCAGGTGTGCAAGAACAAGCCTGTGGCGCACTAGCCAACCTGGGTGTTCATCAACAGAACATGGTCACTTGGCAGGATTGGAGCTGTTCTTTTCAAGGAGTGGCTTCATGGACATGAGTAGCAGTGTCCGCTTTGTTCCAAACTGCGGGGAGGACGGCTTCTTGAGCTATAATTACCTATTTAGACGTCTTGGTTCACCAGGATGGCTTTTGAGCGCCATGGCCATGGTGTGAGGACCCCCTCTGGGCATCTCAAGACCAAGGATGACCTGGTTGTGCTGGTTTTTCGGGGTAGAACACCTGCCCCGTTTTTCGCTGGGTTCCATTGCAAGTTGAACGCAAAAATGTTTCTAGGCATGCATGCCTTCCAGACTTGTTCATGACTTGATGTTATCAAGATATTCATATGATACATTTGCCTAGCAGCCCAAATGTGTTTTTTTCGATCAAACGGTCTAATTGGGTTCGATATATAGTATGCCAATTCCTGATACTGTAATTCAGACCTCCTTCGCTGAAAGGACAGCCACATGGACTCCTGGATTCGGACCCCGCACACGGTGCAGACCGTTCAGCACAGCTGATCCGACCGAAACAGGAGACATGGGCTCCGACACATGGCTCCACATGGACTCCCTGCCAGCCTGGAGACTTCCGCCCGGAAGAAGGAACATTTAGATCGGTTCTACCCATTGACCCCAAACAACTGGCAGGGTGTCCGCCCGGATCTCTTTCTCGGATCCCTCGGGCCTTCCTCGGATCCCTCGGGCTCAGGTGGAGATCGCTCAACTGAGTGGCATTGAACTGGTGATTGCATCCTTGAAGAGGTTTCCCACAGAACCGGGTGTGCAAGAGAAGCTTGGCGGGTCGTGTTTTTTTGAAAACGAGGTGCCACTTTACCTAAGAATGAAAAGGTCTGTGCAATCTGATCTGTGGAAGTTGGCCTCATGCAGTGATTCCGAGCTGCCCAACTTCTTTTTCTAGCCAAGAACTGATGCTTTTCGACCCGGTCAGAACATGTCGTCAAGGGTTGTTTGATGTATTCCAGCGCCCTGGCCTCCCGAACTGGGACCACTTTGTGCAATGCTCTGCATCGCGTAATCATGAAGGTGCCCTCTTTTTAAGGACTAACTCACATCCACAAAACCTGTCAAAACCCGCCAAACCCAGCTTTCAACCGCGCTCACCACCCCAAATCGCCCTTCGTGCTTCACCACCCCAAGACCTGGACCTTTGCTGCAAGACCTGGACGCGGCGAGGAATGGCTGCTTCGCGCTGTCGAAGTTTCTCACCATGCCCAACGAATCCTATCGTCAGCGCATGAAAGCCGCCGATGCGGAGGTGCAAGTCCTCGCGCGGCCGACTGGACCGGAGGGAAATGTGTGTCTGGTAGTAGGTGGTAACCGGTAGTAAATGGGCACCATCAGCCCAAAAGCAATGGAAAACCAGTGCAAGGTGTCATGACTGCACAGTATCAAATCACTCCAACTCACAAAGTGAGCTTGCGGAGCTTTTCGTCTTGGAGCAAGACAACCATTTGGAGGATTCGACCAAACCGATTTTGTTCATGCCTAGCGGGACTACCAGGTGCTACCAGTGCGGCAGCAACTCGCCGCCCTGCTTTGCGGACCCGCGCCAGGCTGCCTTAGAAGTGATCAAGACTTCGAAGCCCTCTTTCGATGTGAAGATTTGCTTCTGGGCGCAACAAAGAACAACACTCTGTGTTTTTGGCACATGTTTTCAGTGGAGAGACCATGAAAGCTTCGTGCACCAGAGTCGAGGTATGAAAATGAGTCGGTGCAAGCCTTGAGCGGTGAGGCTAAAAATAATAGTGCTGCACTTCTTGTCCCTACACCTCCAAGTACCCTCAGGTTCGGTACTTAGACCCTCCGGCACCCACCCCAGTCCCACCTTCTCAGAATAGGCCTAGGGTGTGGGTTGCCGAGGCCTCGTCAAGAAACAGACCGAAGCACCTTGTACAGACTCTAGACGGCTTGCTTCATTTCTGAATGCTTTTTCATGTTTCAGATGGGGGGTGTAGAACATATAGAGATCTTCAAGGAAACGAACTTCTAAAAGTGTTTCATCAAAGTGTTTTATTTGAATGCTTATATTCAAACTGTTTCATCATGTTTCACCAGTTTCTTCAGGGCAGTGGATCCTCTCTTCCACAGAAGAACGCTTTGAACAAGGACAACTTGTGACATATTGTTGTCTTGAGAGCAGCACCTCGTTCCGAGGAGACACCCAGTTTTCAGGAACACAAGCAAGATTTTATGCCCTATAGGGCTCCAGTCGTACCGAACCTGAGAAGGTTTTTGGAGTCGGTTTTGAGGGTCCAAATAGCTTCTCAGGTTCGGTACGACTGGAGCCCTAGGGATGTTATATGTTGTGAGGGTCCCAAAGGTCCAGGTATAGCATTTATGGCCCATTTTGCGTGGTTTTCGCAAATGGGCGTTGATTCCACATGGTGGTTTTAGGATGTTTCAATACCCAACATGAACATGACCTTTGCCTGGAAAACAGCCGGTACTCTACATCCATGATCCAGGTACTAAACGATTCCTACATCCACCTGACTGAAACCTTGTGGTACTTCTATGTGCCTCAGGTTGCAACGTGCTCCTGCGGCGACTGGCTGAAGAAGCGCCACAGAGCGCGAGTGGCGCAGTGAGTGGCGCTGTGTTGGGGCAGGGTGTTCCGGCGGGCGTTCCGATGGGTATCCCCATGAGCGGGCCTGGAGCGGGCGCTATGCCTGGAGGACCTGGTCCACCAGGCGGCGCCAGCTCATTCGGGTTGGGGCCGGCCACAGGTGGAGGGATGTCGATGCAACAGCAGCAGATGTCCATGCAACAGCAGCAGATGGCGATGCAACAGCAGCAAATGGCGATGCAGCAACAGATGCAAGGCCGGCTTAAGTCCGTGATGTGGATGAGAGGAAGAGGGAGGACATGTCAAGAACTAAGAAACACTGATTGGTGTTTAGAATGTGTTTAGGTCTTTCTGCAAGAAGGGAATAATGGACACCCCAGAAATATCCATTGTCTAAGCGTCAGACAACCCAGTACGTTTTGTTGCCAGGCAGTCCATCCTTCACTGACTACCCGTGATTCACCCGACAAGAAAGCAACAATTAGGACAAATCCTTTGACTTCTAACGACTTACCCTACACCTCCTGGCATCCACCCCAGTCCCACCTAACCTCAGGTTCGGTACGAAAACGGAGGCCTAACGACCTACACGAGGTTATAGATGATTTGGTTCGACGTTGATGTTGGTCTTAAAGGAACGCTTCTTGCGAACCCAGTTTGCGGAGCCGTGACGGCCGGCTCAGAGGCGACCCCCCCCCCCGAAACGGGGGAGGACCAGGGACCCGACCGATCCGCTCACCCCGTCCGGTTCGGGTCGTTGGGGATCCCGGTCGACGTTTGGGCGACCAGTGGAGACCAACAGCGTCCACGGATCCGTCACCGAACCGCTCCGCGGATCGGATCGTCCGCGGGGGATCGGTGGATCCCTGGGGATGTCCAGGGTTCGGTACGAGCTCGACTGGATCCCTAAGGATCCATGGAATCGAGGCGATCGGTGCCGCTGTCGCTGTATGTTCCGGATGTCGAGACATCGAGGCTATTGGAAAGGTGGGCCACCAGGACCAGGACCTCCTGGCATGGGCATGGGTCCCAAAGGCAAAGGAAAGCCTGGTTTGGGTGCCTTGGCTGATGTGTTGGAGGACAGCTCATTTCTTCGGCAAAAGAGGACAGCTTTGTAAAGATGAAGTCATGCTACTTCTTCAGGATCTCCTAAGAATGTTCTCAGTTCTCAGATCACTTGTCCTTCTTAACTCCTGACACTATATTGAATTATTGTATACCTAGCACTTCCAACGGGTGCCCAATGGAGACCTGTAAGTAGGGTGGGGTAGTCTATTGGACACCCATTGGATGACCCTGGTACTGTATACTATTGTCACGTTCTGCTCGTCTTGTGTTTAACAACCAGTCGTTCCATGTCGGGGTGGCGTGGTGTTCCTGTGTGTTGCACATCCACCACCTTGCTGGTGACCTTTGAACAAGTTCGGCTGATCCAAGTTGATTCATGTTCGCCTGATCCGGGTGACTCTCAGGCCCCAAAGGCATGAAAGGCTACGGGAAGATGTGAGCTACCGGCGAATCGGCTACGATCTGAGTCCTCAGGACTCAGCAGTTGCTCCTGAGATCGAGATGAGGAAACAACTCAACAAGTCCGTCCAAACCGGGACTCGTTGGATGTCGTTGCGACCCCAACAAAGCCATGACCCGAACAAACCCGTTTGGCTGACCTCGTACCTCCGAAGCGGTTCGGTATGACTGGACCCGAACATGGCACCGACCCCAGTCCAACCGAACCTCAGGTTCGGTACGAAAACGAAGCCCAAACGGGAAAAGAACATCAGAACCGGTCCGACGCTTGCCACCATTTTGTTTGAACCGAGTTCCAGGGGTCTCGGCTCCGGGACGCGTTTCCGAAGTCGAGCGTGGGGTGGGGGGAGCCCGGTGTTGGCACGGTCTGTGCAGCACGGTTCGCTTCTGAGCTGCCGAGGTTGAAGGTGTTCCCTCAAGGTGAAGGTCCTTGAACTCATGGGCCAACGTGGATGGTAGGGATGGAATGTAGGGAGGACCATTTTCTCTCCACAAACAGGTGGCTTTCCATGGTGTTCCACCTGTTCTTTTTTTTCAAGTTTTTGTTCAGGGAGTGTAGTATATTTGCTGTTAGCCTTGGTCCATGGATGGCTTCAGCTTCCTTGCCAAGAGTCTGTTCCTGGAGCCTAGTTAGTATAGTGTGTGTATGGATATGTAAATCCTCCAGACGCACGGTCCATGAGTAGTCATGTATATGGTATGATCTCGAACATGCTGAGGCGCGTTTCGCCAGCGAAGTCAAACATCTTGAGATCTCAAGAGAGTCTACTGCAGGCTTTTCTTTGTAGAGCTACGGTGATGCGCTGAAGTGTGGCGCCCATGGATTCATTGCATTCGAAGAGAAATCGAGTTGCGCCACTCCAATCGCTCCGGAGAACCACCCCGGGCAGATCGTGGTCTTCGAATTTCCGGCGGGTTGAAGTCCTTTTAACGCGGCCATGTGCACCACGGAGTCGTCGATCGCCTGCGTTGTCGGGGCATTGGTATCCCCACGAAACAGGAACTGGTGGAAAAAGATTAACCTCTGAATTGTTTTGGCGTCAGCGAAGGGGGTCAGCGAAGGAATCAGATGACACCACTCCATCGTTGCCCATCGTCAGCTCATTTCAGACACATCCTTATCCAGACAAGTGTCGTGCACTTTGTCTTCCTGAAAGACAGCTCTAGCATGCAGGGATAACAGATGCCTTTTGCCTCTACCTGGACCCGACGAATCGTTCGTAACGGAAATAGGACATGACCGTCGACATGTCCCTACAAAAAAGGTATATATATACCTAGTAAACCTAAAGTATGCAAAAAAAATGTCGTTTCAGAAAAAAACAGTTTTTTGTTGAAAATGTATTCTTTGTATAACAATTACCTTTTTGGATTTTGGTGACCTTTTGTTATCTTTTGCAAGCTTACTGCTGTTTGTTTGAGAAATCATGGGACCATTCTGTCTGAGATCTCCAGTCTGGAGTTGTGGGCAAATGAATAGGGTGCCAGTACTTACTTTCTGTACACAGAGGATGTTGCAATCACCAGAGGGCAATTAGATGATACATGATGCCCCCTGTGCACAAATTGCAACTTCCTCGTTTTGCAAAGATTGCTTTGGAGATCCATATCGCCATCGAAACCATTTCAAAGTGGTCGAGCTCTATCTATTTAGTTCATAGTCATGGTTAGAGTGGCCAAAACTTCAAGACGTTGAAAAGCTGCTCTGCCTTTGCCCTCGAAGAACTTCGAAGCGAAGGCCCTGGAAATCGACCGGACAGAAGCCAATTTTACTGAGAGCATGCTGTGTTTTAGATGTGTCAAATTATCCCAACAGCTTGTCATGGAATGCCTTGATTCCATCTTGCCTGGAAGATTCGGGTGAGTTGCGGTGATCATTCAAAGCTGAATAATAGAGAAGCGCTTGGGGCAAGGGAAAACAGAACCTAGCTCGATCTGCAATCGCTGAGATTTCCGTTTTTTTTCAGTGGACATTTAAACTTCCATGCAGAAGTGGCCGAAAAACAATTACGGAATTTACCGTCCAAATGATGGAAATCACCGGAAAAATTGCGGAAATTGCCGGGCACGGTTTGGATGTTTTGAATGTAACTTTTTGCTGTTTCAGGGGCCTCTGGTACATTGGTACATGCAGGTTTCCTTTGATGTGGCCACGCCTGCTCCTATCAACTCCTTGGTTTCGAGCTGCGCCACTCTGTGTGAGGTGAGGGCTTTGAAGGCATGCCCTGCCCGACATGATGTTGTGCAGCCCCCTGATGAGGAAGACACCCTTCTCCAGCAGTTGCAGGAGCAAAACACAGCTAACTCGCTGTAGTAGTTGTTTCGATTCCTTAAGAGGGGCTCGCACTGCGTTACAGGTTGTGTATGACTTCGGCCCAAACGCCAAATTTTTCTCACACCACTTTTGAGACGAGGGAAATTGTCAAACTGTCCAAATTTTGCGTGTCAGTTAAATGGCATTGTGCAGCCAACAAAGTTTTTATTATTGGGAGAATCAGCCGTGTCAGTAGACAGGTTGCAAGCAAGCAGGTGATCCTAAGGGCCATCGAAAGGTACGGTGTATCCTTGCACTTTCGCCGGAACCGACTCAAACAGCTTAAGTTTAGGTGAACAACTACCTTTTGGTGTAAGAAGAGGCTGGATTTGGGATTGGAAGCAGCTGAAAAAAATGAATATTGCATACCCTCCACTGGCTTGATCGCAGCAACTACAATTTTACAAAACAATGACGTTTCTTATTCTTGGCTGAGATGACCTTTTTTGCCGGAAAAAAACACGACTACATTTTTTTTGCATACTTGGGTTTTCTAGGTACCCATTTTCTAAGGTACGATCTGAGACTCAGGCTATTTGCTTGGAGTCCTAGGTAGCGTAGCGATGGCCTCCAACCTAATAGCGATGGCCTCCACCTAGTAGCTTCTAGTTACTAGACAACTTTATTAAATCCCTGCAATCCATCTCTATGATTACTGGGACTCGACATGTTTTGCCTTCCACACCCCTTTTGTTCTCACTTAAGCATTGTTTGCAGGTCCGTCGCCGAGGTGGGCCGGAGGGGGCAGAGGTGGGGAAGGTGGTGTAGCCCATTACCGGCAACAGTCGGCTAAAGATTATCACTATTTTTGAGAATGGCCTTTGCTAATCATTATATAATATATATATATATATATCAGTATCATTGATCAGATGTAGCACCAGTTACATGTACATGACATAGATTGTATAGATGTATGTTTCACTGCAGCCGTTTGTGGTTTAGTTTTGTGTTCATTTCGATACCAGAGCTCACGCTTGGAGTGGAGCTAAAAGTGGGCCTAAGCTTCTACTACAACCTTTGGGACAGTGACTTGGGGTCACAGAGTTTAAGAGCCTAAATTCTCCGTTCATGGTAGCGGAGCCGCGGTTCTAAGACCCGGCTACCGTCTGCGAATCAAAGGTTGCCGAGCCGCATCGGCTCTGGCACCGGAGATCCACAAAACAAGCATCACTTGCAGGAAAAGCCGGATTGCTTCAATCCCTGGCTAGCAAGTCAGCATGGCGCAACAGCCAGGAGCACAGGCACCACAAGCCACAGACATGGCACAACAATTTGCACAGATGATGCAAGCCCTAGCACAGGGGCAGAGCCAATTGCAACGAGCAATGGCAGAAGCATATACACAACAAACGGCAATCACAAGGAACATAGCCACTAGCGTAGAAGTAAGAGACAGATCAGAGTTGAAAGGCATTCCAAAGCCTGACAAGTTCAGTGGACACACAGGTACCTGGGATTCATGGTACTTCAAGTTCAAGACTTGGATTGAGACAAGTCACAAGAATGCAGGAAAGTGCATTCAGCTCCTCGAAGAGCATCAAGACACAGAGATCAATGAGACATCTCTGGAAGATGATTATCCTGAAGGAGCCGAGCTTGTTTCAGCTCAGGCCCGACAGGCTCTGATCTCACTATGTGAGGGTGAAGCCCTCGAGATTGTCAAGAATACCTCCAGAGGTCAGCACTTTGGCCTAGAGGCATTGAGACGATTGATCACCAAGTATGATCCACAGAACCCACAAGCAAACTCAGCTTTGCTGAAGAAGGTCCTGCACCCACAACAGTGTGCATTGGACAAGCTCAGAGAGAGCATAGAAGCCTGGGAAAACATCAGGCGAAAGTATGAAGAGCGGAAGAAGAAAGCTCTTGATGATGACATCGCGAGAAGTTGTCTTCAGCAGATGTGTCCAGCCAAACTTCAAGATCACCTTGACCTCCAGAGTTCGAGACTCACTGACTATGCCATCATGAAGTCAGAGATTTTGGCCTACCTCGAGAACATCGAGAGCCGAAAAGAAGCAAAGACTGGATCAGCACCAATGGATGTTGACGCACTAGCCGCAGCTGCCAGCCAGATGCAAGCTTCACTTGCAAGTCTGGCTAAAGCCAAAGGAAAAGGCAAAGGTGGCTCAAAAGGCGGCAAAGGAAAAGGAAAGAGTCAAGATGGAGGCAAGGGAAACGACAAAGGTAAACAGAAGGGAAAAGGTTCTTCGTGGTCCAATCCCTCGTCACGGAACAAGTCATGGAACAAGAACGATTGGTATAAGAATAGTTGGTACAACCAAAACTCCAAGGGTAAAGGCAAAGGTGGCAAAGGCAAAGACTCTAAAGGTAAAGGCAAGGGTAAGAGTAAGAAGGTAGCTTCAGTTGAGGAATCTGAAGCCTTTATGGCTCAAGAGCATCAACCCGAGCCTGAGTATTCCGCTGACATCGCCACCCTCTTTGCCATCGAGATGGAGAAAGCAGCACCTGCCGCAATTTCTCGTGGAGCAGCCAAGGCAAAAGCTGAGACTGAAGTCAAGGCTATGCCAAAGAAGCCAGGAGCTGGAAAAGGTCGTCCTGGAATTGCAGCTGCTGGGATTGCAGTCATGAACCAAGCAATCCAAGAGACCATGCAGTCCAATCGCGAGCTGTATGAGAAGAAGTCTGAGACAATCCAGAAGGCCATCGAAGAGGCCGAAGCCAAAGGCAAAGCAGCCAATGACGCCATCTTGGAACAACAGGCCGAGATGAAGAGGCTGAAAGAACAGTATGAAGAAAAGGAGAGAGAAGCCAAGATCTTGCTGAAGAGACCAACTCCTCGCCGCGCCGCTTCGGTGCCGGCGGAGTCGCCAAGGCTCTCAGCTGATTTGGCATCAGGTATGGACCCAAGATTGGCCAAGAAGAAAGAGAAGAGCCGTCAGCGCGCCGAGCAGCATCGCGTTGAGAAGGCCCAGGATCGTTTCGAATCCTGGCGCGACTATGAGGCCAATTACCCTGAGGAGCTCGACTACTATGAGATTGCTCGTGCCAAGGGTACTGGTCGACTTCAAGCTTGGGATGATGAAGATGATGAAGGAAAGTTTGATGAGGCCCCTCAGCCTCGAGGTCGGGAAAAGGCCCAGAGGCATCGTGGCTACAAGAAGCCAGGAAAGGCAAAGAAGCCTGAGAAGCCAAAAGAGAAGGAGCCCAAGATCGAGGATCTCTCCACTCAAGAGTTGGCAGAGATGAAGCGGGAAAGCCAAACATGGACGGCTACTAGCCATCCAGCCTGCAGTGTCATCGACAAAGCGCTCACTGCTGCTGGGTTCAACCCAGAGGACTACGTTGTGATGAAGCGCGTCGAAAGCCAAGGCGAAGGAGCAACAAGCGCACCATCCTTCGCAGCTCCAGTCATGGAGAACATCAATCCCCTTGATGTGACTGAGATCGAGGGACTTGAGGAGGAAGAAGAATTTGAAGATGAAGTTGAAGAGGATGAGAATGGCACTGAGCCAGCTGACGATGAGTCAGATGGACAAGAGGAAGAAAAGGAGAAAGACACTG